CAACGCCAGAACGATTACCGTCGGATTTATCGCGCTCGTTCCGTGTCATCGTGTCATTCATCGCGCGGTCTATTCGTTCCGGGCGCCGTTTTATAGACTGGCCGTCAATTTTCACTCCCAACCTGTCTCCATAATTCCCGCCTATATTCGAGACACTGTCCCGCGCATTGTAATTTACATTTAGTCGGCACCCGGTCTTCATTTATCCTTCGAACAATCTCTCTCGGATACCATTCCTTTGTGGGTGCCGAAATACGATCCGTCCAACTGGCCTTGGCCGGGCCAATTTCTGCCTCGTGAAAATCGTTCTGTCGCGGTTCGAAACAGCCGATTCAATCTTATTGGAATATTTTCCGTTCGAGAAACGACCTTCGAGCGAGTTTAACCCTTTGCCTAGGCTGATGCTTCCTCGAATGTTGCGATCAACATCGCCCCATCGAGACGGTATTTCAAGCTTAACATTGAATCTACCGTATCGGTCGAACGGTTTCACACGTTTTCTTTTAAAACTGTTGAAATTATAAAGACTCTTTCGCAGGAAATGATTCGGTAGATTTCAACTTTCGTAACGCGCATGATAGTAAAAATGGCGAACAGTCCGAGCAAATTCAGCCTTATCATTCTTACACAGCAACAGGCATCAGGCACTTTTAGTACTCGGTAGATTAACATACCTGCAACATAGATTCGTGTTCTTTTCAGTTTCACGATTTCTCATATTCATTGTTGTATCGGTTCCATCCTGATTGGTTATGTATGAAGTTGAACGATGGTCGTCGAGAATGCTCCCATCGGTTTCCAGGCGCGTTTAAAATGATCTTACAATTGGTCGAAGCAATGCGACACTGTGATCCTTCGTTTAGATAAATTGCTAAACGCGCGAGCTTGAATAGAATTCAAGGAACTGAAAAAACCCGTTCGCTCGAGTAACTTCGGAGCTATTTTTACGATGTATCAGGTAGTTTCCAGTCGAAGATGCGTTTCGTCCTTCCGAATGGACGAAGGGAGAAGCTGCGTAGAGTCGCGTCTCTCGGCCAAGGAGGATCGGTTGCGCAGCGCCGTCAGGAAGCGAACCGCGTGGCGCTTTTATCGATCGATTTGCCGTGTCGATCGGCAGCCGAGGCGCTAATGGGTTAGTCAGCTTGAACACGACTCCGAGGCACGGCTCCGTGCGGCGAGCGTGCGAAAAATCGGTGCTCCTTCTCCCTCGGCCGGGCTTAGCCGTGGCTGTAACATATGTAAATGCCGGTGCACGCGGCCCGGAGAACGCACACGGGCCCCGCTCGCGTGTTCCCGGACCCGTTCCTGGGCCCGTTCTTCGAGAGCAGCCACGTTGCTTGTAACAGCTACGGAGAGCTATCTCGCTCGCGGAGACACCGAGTCGCGCCTAGGAATAATAAATAGAGATAGACGAACGGAGATAGCGGCGAAGGGGACGGGGCGACCCCGTGTCCTGCCCACGCAAAGATTATCTCGAGGAATTATGAGTGACCGCTCCGGCTTCTAGGTTATGCAAAGCCGCGGCTATCGACGCCGCTCGTCCGTGAAATGGACGACTTCGAGCGGTCCAGCTTCTGGTCACTCGGGTCGTCGTGGCTGAATTAACAGCCGCCGGGAATCGCGCGTATCTGGAACGTATGAACTCTGGGAAAGTGTGTCGGCATAGAAAGATCGCTTCGCGCCGCTCGAACCGCCAAAAGATGCGAGCTACTCGAAGCTTGGCATTCATCATTTTCTAACGATCTTTGAATTTCATGAACCGTATGGACAGATTTTAAGAAGCTTCGTAAACGCTACTTACCGAACTGGATTCACAGTGTACATTTCCTAGAGTCCTAGTACCAATCGTCCCTCGGCTTGTAAACAAAAATGGACTATTTGGGAACAGGAGATACGATTATTTAAGCCGTGCGGCTCGTTTCTATAATTGTCGGCTGTCAACAATTATAAAAACGAGGCGCAAGAATCGAATAATCGTATTTGCTCTATCTGCATTGTCGAATTTTTGTTTACAAGTTCAAGGACAATTGGGGAAAATTTACTGTACTCGCAACGTAGCAAGATCAGAATCAGAATAGATACCATTTGATTCTCGATTCATGAAATTCTTCTGCAGACACATAAATTCGCACGAAGTTTCTGTTAATTAATGTTGATTTTTAATTGTTAAACACTGGCGTTCGGTATTAGTTTCAATTATAATTTAAAAACTCTTTATATACTCCGTCTTAACGCTAGATTCGCTAATTTTTTAATTTACGATTATTCATATCGTAAAGATACATTCATGAGTTATTTATTCAATTTATATGTTACTTACGGCAAATGTTACAATAACACTCGTTAAAAATCCGAATAACTGTCATATTCTTACTTTAATAAACTAATACGAAACAGCTATTTTTCGTGCTCCGTAAATCTAGTGTTAACCTTTTAGGTACGGCTGAATTCTGCGCGAGGCTATTTCTCTGGACGGCAGAGTCTGTGTACTGTATATAGAGAGTCCCAAAAATGTCTCGCAATCCGAAAGTGGCGGGTTCCTCGGGCCATTTGAAGCAACTTTTTCCTTTACAAAAATTTTCTCCGAGGCATCGTTAACGAGTTATTAACGAAAAACAGTGACCAATGAGAGGCGAGCTCGGCTGGCGCGAGGCGATCGAGCCAATGAGCGGAACTGGTCTTCGTGTGCTGGTTGGCCTGTCTCTTATACACATCTAGATGTGTATAAGAGACAGGCCAACCAGCACACGAAGACCAGTTCCGCTCATTGGCTCGATCGCCTCGCGCCAGCCGAGCTCGCCTCTCATTGGTCACTGTTTTTCGTTGATAACTCGTGAACGGTGCCTCGGAGAACATTTTTGTAAAGGAAGAAGTTGCCTCGAATGATCCGAGGAACCCGCCATTTCCGGCCTAAAAGGTTAAGGGTGCAACGGCTAAACGTGTTCTCGTACTTCTCGGGACACTGTCTATACATAACACAACATACAAAAACAATCACCCAAGCAGTAAAAGAAAATAGATGTCACACGCGTACAATGTTCATAGATCGGCTCCCTCTTCATCGATATACATATGTATATCGAATAAAGAAAAAACATTATTTACAGTTATACACCTGGCAGTTTTACATTGCATCCTTAAACCAAGTTTTGACCTCTTGTTTTCAAAACAATTTCGACCATAGCTTCATTCGGACCATATTTTCTGGCAAAGCGTTCCCGCCTCGTTCCCAGAACCTTCCGAAAAGTAATCTTCGCTGGTTAATTCGAACAAATGCAGCATTGTTCCGAATCACGACACGCTACACGCTAAACCGTCGCGCGGGTCGCTCGAGCATTGCAGCGTGCCCCGTCGATCGCTCCGACCGCTTGTCTCCGCGTGGTTTTTTTAATTACCGTAATTTATGGATCGCGTCGATCTCGCGCGTTGCCGAGCGCGATCGCAACAATGGCAAGAAGCCGTGCACAGTCGTCCGTGAAATGCTCGCGGATTTCACGGGGACGGCGCGGTATGGAGCGGCGTGTAGCGGCGTGTTTAACGCGACGCGCGGCACGCTCGTTGCGCCGCCTTTATTATTCCGTTCTGTTCCCGCGATCGGGGCTGGCTCGCGCTTATTTTGTAATTGCTGGTGTCTCGCGCCGGTAATCGCACGGTAACGATCGCCGCTCAGCCGACGAGCGAGCGTTGGCTAATCGCCGGGAACGCGATTATTTCCGCGTGCGGCCTCTCGCGAGCAGCTTCCAGTTTCCATGGGTCGCTTCCCCGATCTCTTCCCTCCCGCGAGGATCAAAGGACAACGAGTTGTCGCGCTATCGACTGGATTCCGCGGTACGAACAAGTTGACGCGCCTTGAAATGGTTTTTGAGAATATTGGAACCGATGAATCGAAATCATTAAAATGTTCGGAGATCTTTGAAATTGTTATGCTTTTATCGCGTTAGCTGCGCTTGCAATTCATTTGTACAGCTGTTTGCGGTTTAGTTCCACGATGATTTACCGTTCTCTTAGATACATTTTTTGTTCTAATATTATCGTGACGCGATTATATTTTTATTTTATGTATAGCTGATTCCTGAAAAATGTCTTAACTTTAAACGAGACATTATTAGTATTGGTTCACGAAATTATTTAAGAATTCATGTAAACCTCTCTGAACTCGTCAAGTTTGCAATGTTTCAACGTAAATTGCGCTTATTAATTTGGTAATATGCAATCTTTACTGAAACAATAACTGGCAGTAATTGGCAGTCCGGTTAACGATTGACCTTTGTACACTGTTAGAATTTTAAAAAACGGACCATTGCTTCTTATTCTAATTTCTCTCGCTGTATAAAACAACATCAACCGTTTTCGTAACAAATCTCTTCGAGAACCGAACGACAATCGTAACGTCACAATTTCCTGGACAGGACGCAAGAACTGCAAAGTACCGTTCCCAGCAGTTTTCTTACGGTTTTGCAAATACTGGCCGAGATTAGGTTGCCGATACGAACGGGAAATGCTCGATTTCCTGAAAGGAATGGGATCCAGTCCGTTGAGCGACGCCTCGTACGTTTCAATTAGGGGCAACAAAAGGTATCCGCGCGGCCGGACCGGATTTTCGAATTTTTGCGATCGGCGGCGTCGTAACCCGGTAATTGTCGCCTCCATCCGGCCGTATGGCGCACCGTCCGAGAAGAATGCCATTCGTGCTCTTAATTCCGTTTTGCGCCGGGCAACGGAAAGTGAGTTTTTCGTCGTGAAACGCTCTTTAGCGCCGACCGGGCAATTAGCCCGGAATTATCCGTGCATTCTGCCGGCTGCCTTCGCTCCTCCTCTTCTTTTGTGACCGCGAAGTCGTACTGCGAGCACTTGTTCCGCGAGCGGGATGAAAGAGAGACCGGAAGCGATCCTCGCGAGCCATCCTCGCGGTGCCGATTGAAATTAGTTGGTAGAAAATATCGATGGAAAGTTGCCTGGCACAAATTCGACTAAAGCTTCTCCCTTTCTTTTTGTTTCAGACGCCATGGGTAAGTGGACAAGAATTCTCTTCCTCCTCCTCCTCCTACTCCTCCTCTTCTTCTTCTTTTATCTCTTCTTCTTCTTCTTCTTCTTCTTAATCTTCTCTCTTTTCCTTCTTCTTCTTCTTCTTCTTATTCCTCTTATCGTCCTCTCTGCTCTGTGCGGGGTAACTGACGTCGTCGGTAAGCTCGACACGATCAAACCGATCCTTTCGGCGCACGGAAATCCCCCGTCGCAATTGCCGCGCGCGCGCGCGCACTTTAATGATCGTAATTAACGGAGCGGTGGTTTGTTACACTTGTATCTCCCGCGTCGACCGCTCGGTTTTCATGCCGTGTGCTCCGGCCCCGTTCGAGAAAACTTGACCGGCCAACGATTTAATCGCCGATACCGGAGACACTCGTTGCGTACAGTTCGCGTCAATATTCTTCTTTTCCTCCTAGCCATAGGAGGCACGTTCGGTTCTATTGTGCCCGGTCTTGGTAGAAACATTGGGCAAGCGTGAAGCGCAGCCGAGATCTGCCTTAACGCTTTGCTTATCGACGATCGCTTGACAGTCTCTCGGGAAGCAAACATAAATCGATGATTTCCTAATAAATTGCTCAATAGCAACTGTCGCTTTATTCGTGTACCAACAGATTGCCTCGAGCAATGCCATTCAATGATCTCTTCTACAATTTGTATGGATGAACGAATCACGGATCAGCGAAGACACTGGTAGAATTTACAAATACTGTTGCATTACCGTCACCGTGTTAACGTCATCGAAAAGGAAAATATACATTTTTATCTGACATCTGTTTTATACCATCGACGAGTGAAATTGCAATTTTTCATAAAGATCCGCAGTTCAATAACCATCAAGCTTCTCCTAGAAGTAGCACGATCGTTTAAAAGGCCAACACTATAAGGCTAATAAAATTTGTCTTTCAATATGAAGAAATAAATTGTGTAGCACTGATATATTCAGTGCGTCAAATTACGGTAAAGATCAAAGTGTTGTTCGACTTTCGGTAGCAAAAACGAAACAGGAGCAGCCTTTTGATAAATAGCTTTTTAATGCTGTTCGATAGTTTCATTCGTAGCTTGCTTGCGCGAGTGGAGTGCATACGACGCTTCAAACTGACCGCCGTGCCTGCACCGCTTCTGCAGAAATGCAGTTTTTGGAGCGCGTCAACTTCGAGTCATCGGTGACTCCGAGAGCCACGAGTTGAACATCCCTGCTGTGGAGGGTCGTCGCGTCGCAGCGACGTTATCTGTCCGGTTTTGGGCCGATGTCCACGCGGCGAGATCAATTATTCATTGTAGATTCGGGGCGTATCGATGCGACTGACCGGACAGAATTCATGAGAATGATTTTCCACATCGGAGAGGATCCATTATTTATTTACCACCGTGCGTTACACCGCGATGCAAGGGCCCAGCGTCCGATAGTTTGCTCGAAGCTGCGGCTCGTGACTCTTTCTCTCTCTCTCTCTCTCTCTCTCTCTCTCTCTCTCTTCCGTTCGATACCCGCGTCGAATATTTTAGCATAGCGTTCGGTCGGTGACGTTAATTTGTCTTCGGGGGAGGAAATTGCGCGCTGTCCACCGAAGTGAATGATAGGAGAGAAAGAGTGAGGCCTTCCATTGAGACGCGGTGGCTCGTGAAGTCAACTGAAGTGAACCCTCGATATGAAAAATTGATTCGAGTATAAATGTCAGAGACACGGTCGTCGATCTAGATCGTTCTCGCGGAGCCTGTCAGGGACTGTACTCTCCAGCGACCGTCGAACGATCTTGCTACCGATCCGCTTCTCTTCCCAATGGCCGTTTGCGGACATTTCTTTGGCTCTCTCTTTCTCTCTCTCTCTCTCTCTCTCTCTCTCTCTCTCTCTCTCTTTCGGCTTCTCTATCGGTCGCGTACGGCGCGCGCCGCAGTAACGAGCCGCTCCACCGGCTTAATTAGATTAATTAGATTGCAGCAGAGGCGGATCACGCTTTCCGAGATCCGTCCTGATGCAGGATCGACTGCTCTGTGACGTTACGTTTTCATTTCTACGCGGATCGTACAAATTGAGGCTCAGACGAGTCACCGACCGCGGGCAACAGTAATCCGTATAAAATTACGTTGAGGAAACATTTTCTCAAACGTGCAATCACATTCTTTAATTAAACATGCAAGCATCACGAATTCATCTCAATGAAATAGTCGATGAAATATATATCGGGAACATTTATTTATTTTATTTTATTTAACGGGTGCGAGTACACTCGGTACAAGCAGAGTCTTGAGGCTAAATGTGAGAGACCTCGTTAGACGCGAAATATACATATATATATATTAGGTCATTCAGTATGAAATGTCCGATTACCTAAAGCATCAAGTTTGATATCCGATGTTTCCGATATTTCACTTCAACCATCCTTTGTTTCATTTTGCAGTGAGAAGGGACACGTCATCTGGCTTTCAGACGCACTCTTTTGTTTTCAATAGTTTATCGTATCGTCGCCCGAGGGGTAAATATTGTAAGCCATGGATAAGTCAAAAATTCGCGTTATCTTCGAATATGATTTCCGTCGTTAACGAAGTGTTCGGCAAGGATGTGGCTAATGAACGTACAGTACGTCGATGGTTTGAAATGAACCACGCGGCCGACCCGAGGGCAAGGACCGAGATATAATAAACCAAACTTTCAGTCTCTAAATCGGACATTTCATACTTAACGACCTAATAGTAAGGTCATTCCTAAAACGTACGAATAGAATAGAAAAATCAGACAAATCTTTAAACGTTCACGAAAATACCATTCAAAGAGTTAAATCGGTCACAAAGTGTTCCGTGAAATTCTTCTAAGAGCTACGGATGATACCGATGATACGTTTAAAGCAAATCTCGATAAAATGACAGAGCATGAGATTATTCCATTGAAAACTTTATACGCGAATAATCTTGTCTCGAATAGTCTCCGACGATTGAAAATTAATTCTAGACCGTTTAATTGAACTCTAGATTAATTACCAACGAACCGGAATTCGTGAAAAAATCGGGAACGGAAAACTGAAATATTCGTAACCAGGAAACCGATGATTATTTTCTCACCGGTAGCCATTTTCGTCGTTGTAAAATTTTGTTAGAATTTCGGACAGCTTTTCCTCGTTCTATAAAAATCCGTTGTTCCTCGACGGCGGAGATGATTTTAATCGATCCAATTTTACTAAAACATCCTCCTTCTCATCCGTTTGGTCGCAAATAGGTTTTTCGATCCGTGGTATCGCGGCTCGTCGGTCGCATGCTAATTTCCCGAAATCGTATATCAAAGCCGTAATCTACCGTACACGGGGCGCCGTGGAATCCTTAACGATGTAATTAATATGTAAACTGTAAAATCTGTCCGGGAGAGTCAGCTCCTATAAATATGTATGCGACAGATCGGTCGGGGCGCATTCTTCATTATAGATCGCGCCCGGTACGGCGCGGCGCGGCGTCGATCCCTCGCGGAGCCGCTTTTTTTCGACTCGATCCTCCGCTAGTCGCGATCGACGATCCCCCTCCACCGATTTCCCAGGCTGTCGGGGCAGCTTCTTTCTCTCCGAAATTAACGCCGATAACTTAAAACCTCGACGAGCATGAATATTAATACAGCGTCGCGCGCGCACACATTGTAGCAATTTCGCGACATCAATTTGCCGAAGTTGCTGCCTGTGCGCGAGATTCCGCCGCAGTTTCGAGTTTTTTTTTGGAATCGCGCAGCTACGACACGCCCCCTGATCTGAATCACGGATAATGGCTCATTCTTCTCTGGGTTCTCTAATTTGTGAATCCTTGCTGTATAATATACTCCTGATGAAGATTTCAAGCTACAACCGCCTAACTATGGATGTCGTCCTCTTATTCCGAGTCGATAGAAATGTCTATTCCTTCGTGATCGAAGGATTAACACTTATCTGTCCCTCGCGTCGGTTGGACACAGTTTTCGCGAACACTGAAGATATAATTAAGCAAAGGAAGTTAGTGGATAGTCCATAGAGATCGTTTTATTAGTTCCGAACAACGCGAGTAATCAACGTTAAAACATGTCTCGTCTCATCTTAGGTTTTCGTTATTAAAGACAGAATTTACGAAATCAATTATTTGTTGTTCCATTTTGCTCATTTGTTACCGTTGTGTCAATTCGGCATCCAAGCACAGATTGCGACGATTAAAGAAAAATCGTAAAAATTGAAATCATTGCGACAAAAGCCGTGCAGAGGTTCAACGTGTAGATTGTGGTTCTTTATGAATTTCTGATGCGTGCAAATTAGAGTATGATAAAATTAGTAATATTCACAACGATTCAATTTTAATGATATATTAGGTCTACCGGAAAGTTCTGTCCAATAGTGTCACTTCAAGATTCAATTCATATGCACTTGTTGATTTCAGACATATATGACTATTTATCATTGCATTTACACGCATGTACTCTCCTAAATAAACTGAAACAAAGATGTCTCGTGTCATTATTAAGCGAGACGCGATCGTGAAAACATGGCTGCCGATGATAATGCCAGACCACATGCTGCTTTGGCGACTCGTCGGAAAATCGCAGAGCTAGGCTGGGATATTCTGTCGCATCCACCATGCTCCCCAGACCTAGCACCCTCCGATTATCACTTGTTTCTCTCTTTGCAAAACTCTTTACAGGAAAAATATTCAATACCGAAGCTGATGTCAACCAAGCACTAGTCGAGTCCTTCGCCTCTAAAAAGAAATCATTTTTTAAAAATGGCATTTACAAGTTGCCATCGCGCTGGCAAGAAGTCATAAGTAACGATGGAAAGTATATTCTACGATAAGTATTATTAAATGTATG